TGTATGTATTTGCGTTCAGGTTGTTTAATTCGCCATTTCAGTAGCGCTGATTTTGTGATGCTGTAAATTGTCACGTGAAGTACGCCCTTGAAAATACGTAAGCAATTTTTTGGAATTAGATCGTGCGGCACTCTTGTGTTAACTTGATTTTTGATAGTTACCTCGGAAAGTAGTTATTTCAACTTGAAAAGCCACACAAGTCTTAAGTACTGTGCTGTAACTTCTGTGTTTGGGTCGCTGGAGACAAGAGAACTGCTTATATGTGTGATGCGACTGATCAATGCGAATCGCTAGTTGCGTGCTGAACAAGTATCGCAACGGTCCCTGACACCTGAATGTGCGAAAGATGCTAGAGCATGCAGTGTCTTGCGTCACTCCATTCGGCACACCGGTGCGCAGTCACCAACAATGAATCCCATTCTCGTCGGCATCCTATCCAATGAAGCCAGATCACTAGCCTCCAAACGCTGCGAAGCCTTTTGTGCACTTGTGTTCTCAGTCACCAGCGCAGCAAGGGAAGTGGCACTATGTAGAGCGGCCTCCATCAATGGCGTTGGCAACCATTGAATAGGAAAACCAACGCTGAGCCGTGTCTTGTTAAGAGCACAGCTGTTATTGTTACTATTATAATCATAATTATTACTCGGCTACCTGCTCCGGTGTTGGGTTTCATGTCCAACCACATGTCTCATGCCTAGAAGCGGAATATGCGATCCCCAAATAATCAGAATGAAGCAGTGGTGTGTTTCGCTTCCATGCGTATGCAATGAGTATGGAAGCAGTAAATGCAGCACGACAGAAAGTCTAAATCGCTGGGATCCTTAGAAACTCATAATTGAACCAAGAGGAACCGGATTGGCAGCGAATGGAAACTGAGGTGAACACTGTGTGTATTACACTGTAACTTTCAAGGAATCGGAAGGGTGAATTCAATGAGAAATCGTTTGCTCGTACCCCGCACGCAAACTGATGGCAAGTCCATCAGCCAAATTTAACTAGGATGAGCATCTTCAAGCAATTGGCATACTGGCATACGGTTGGTGTAGCCTCGTATGCCGAATTAACTTTGTGAGTTTTTACAGTTCAAGTGAGTGTATAAGTCGAAATAGACCGATAGACCAGTAAAGCGAAGGTAATTGAGTGAATCAGTGAGTCGAATGATACACAGTAGACAAAATGATTGTAGCCAAAAGACGAGTGAAGCTCGACGGTTTCCATCAAATCGAAATTCATTATCATCAATAGATGTTGGTTGAGGGTCAGAAAGCTAAAGTGCCGCAGTACAGAAAGGTAAGATACAAAAAAATTACACTAAATTTCAAAAGCTGGTAATATAATGTTACATATTATATTACGCATTTCGTATGAGATCGTGACTGGAGGGGGAATCTAAAAGCGAGGGAGATGGACAAAGAAACTCACAACACAAACGCCACTGGGGCCGGTTCTTTGCCATATTAGTAAGTGTGTTCAACCACGCGTGTTCGTCGTCCTTAAGACCCAAGCCAGGCAGTTGGGATGCACCAACCGACGGCAAATTCGAAATTGGGCTTCTGCCCATTAAAAATGTAAACTAATAGTAGACATGCAATCGATATCGCCACATAAATAAGAGCAGTAGCCGAGGTACGGGAACGTGTTGCGAGTTTCCGACAGAAAATAGGGTTATGAGGCGCATAATGACTACAAGGGTTACCATGCTGGCATATCATAACGCGGCCACCGGTATTTTGGTCTAAAAATTGCAGAATGTGATCAAGAAGGGGAGTCGGTTGATATTTCAGGGGTGCATATGCACCTGTCGCATTTACTCGATTCCAAAGTCTGCATGAACAATGATAAGGTAGAAGACACGAGCGCAGCTGTTTACGCTTGTCTCCGCGTTCCAAATGTGATGAAGGAGCCAAGGTCATAACTGTTCCATCAACAAACAACCGCTGTAACGAGTGTTGCGTGCGGCTAGGTGGTACCACAGTACCAACTGTCGGTACCCACTACTCCCCGGACTCGAGTCCATGTTTGGCTATGTCTAGCTAAAGAGCACAAACAAACAAAAAATCGATAGTTAAGTGCAGGGATGGCAGCGGGAAAAATTTGACATCCATTTGTTTTGATTAGTTTTAGTGAGCGAGATTAGAGTAAATCGTAGTACCGATAGCGTGTCGCAATGCAGTCACAAAACGGACAAGTCGACATGTTTCCTCAACACAGATTACACCCACTGTGAGTTACCTGACCTGTGTTAATGAGAGAGGTGAATCTGTAGAAATATGATGCGATCCACGCTATAAGCAAGAGCAAGCCAAAGAAACAACACTTAAAAAGGATAGCGTTACAACTAGATGCTCAAACATGTGGCGCACACCACCTAAATTTGTACAACTTGAGAAGGAAAACGCAATAACAGGTTTAATGAGTTTGTTTAAATGAAGTAAATTGATAGAACCTGGAAGTAATTAACTATGGTGCAGATGATTGGCATTCAGTAGACACAAATAGTTTCAAGCACTTCCAGATAACTGCCCAAACTGAGCGAGCATCAATTTATGTGTGTATACTTGCGCATATATTTTGTTAGACTCAGCAGGCTAGAAATTTTCCAATGGAAGCGACATGGTAGTAGAACTGGAAACAGCTGAGCGACAGTAGGGCACATCGACGCATGGCTGACGACACGAAGAGCCGCTTTATATATGCTTAGGTGGGTGAGGTCACGAGTGAGTGGGAAAACATTCTTCCGACGTGTAGTGAATCAGTTCGAAGACGAACTTACTTCACTAAGGAGCAAAAGTAAAGTGAAACTCAAGCCAAATGTGTCCATAAGAGGTATATAGACCGCACTGGACTGCGATACATGGTTGTTGTTGTTGTTTGTGAACATATGAACTTGAAGTTGGGCCTGTTACTGGGCGATCGAGTAAGGTAGATCACAGAGGAGTGGCGATCGTGGGGCATGAAAGTTAATTTTCAAAATATATCCGGTGTAGCTGACCTTGAGACACATTGTAACATGAACCGCTTACATCCCAAACTTCCGCCATGGTCAATGTTACTATATGTACCTGAAAAAACATCCAGCACCAGATGAACACGTCAAGAAACTGGCTGTCTCTGAACATCATCGTTTGCGGAGTACCCTTCACGTTTGGTGAGAGTACTGAATGGGAAGTACCGTAACTAGACAGCAAGTTTGGTAGTAAACTGGTACTGCGCTGGACTTCAATTCATGTTCTTGTATAACTAGGACTACTTGTCCCAGCGTGCATCGCTTTTTAAATGTTGCTGCACCCGCTGGAAGGGTTAGCTAAGGACAAGAACAAAGTAAATGTGAGGTGTAGTTGGGGTGCATCAAAACCTTGAGATCAACCACATCAGAAAAGACGTCCGATATATGTTCATTGCAGTCAGCAATGTTTGTGCATTTGGCCTATTAGATCTGGCTGCCAATTTTCAATTCGACAGGTGTTAACTATCTGTTATCGCAACTCACTTATCATCGTGTCTTGCCTTTATCATGATGACGTTATGAGAAGTGGATATATGGCATTTCGGAGCACGGATAACAATTGTTTTCCCGGACTGGACTGATCACAGATCAGTTAATCAGGAAGAAACCACCAGATTAATGCACAGGCTTGCATCAGCTGCATACACAGCAGATAGCGAAGACATTCGAATTAGTAACGGACCGCACAGTTGTACGTTTACAGAACGGATAGAAGATGGTGACAAAGGCTGTGATCGGCGTCTTGTTGCTTCAGTTCGCTAATTCGGTGACCAGTGACAGAAGATCGGATAATCTGGGACGTAAGCTCTAGGTTACCTGATGGACGACTATCGAGCAATGTCTTGTCAGAACCCAGTCCCAAAGCGCCTTGATGCGGATCAGCAAAAGGTTTCCGTAAAATGCGAACATCCAGCGTGTAAACCACATGGCAAACTCACGAACAATAAGCGATACGTACGCTTACACAAAACAAATACACAATATACATACACAAAACACATACATCTAACGCGGGATATCAGACACTGTGAATGCCGGACAAACCCCTGCATGTACAGTAGGACGGAAAAGAGGAAATAATCCATCGTCCCAAAACCGGATTCATGAGGATCAACAAAGATATAAAGTGCTAAGCAGACATGCAGTTCAGTCAGCCCCTATAAATTGAGTGGACGATCAGCTTTGGCCACGGACGCATGCTGTAGTAGACTATGGAATGCAAGCTGATTTTACCCCTATTTTTAACGTTGCGAATGGCACAGTGGCTTAGTGAACCAAACAAATACTATACTGTTTTCGCTATTACTCTCAGAAAGTGCATTCAAAGGTTGCACGTCCGGCAGTGATGTACTACACGTTAATCGCGGAGCTTCGCCCGGTCTATGGATTTCTTGGTGGCTTAGTGAATTCTCAACATTTAAGGTGATTCAATACATAGCATTAAGTGATTTGAAGGCTTTTATCACTGGCACACAAATACGTAAGGTGAAGAGTAGACTATGAACTACCGTGAGAAAAGAAGTTAACGAGTAGGAAGGTCACCAAGACAGCATTGAGGTGCGTCGAGAGAACAAGTGATCAAAAAGCGCAAGCGAAAGCAAGACAGAGGGTCGAATAAGGTGAGATATCCAAGTAAAAATAGGAGCAGAAAACACGGTTCGTGTTGAAGCGAAATGGTTGATGAGTGTTAGATTGAGATCCATATGCCGGTGATGCGAGTATCCAACCTAAAAATACACTTGAAAACATGACAGATTAACTTAGCCGATCGTTTATGATACTAAGCTAGGAAGACCAAAAGATTCAGATGATACTTGGTAAAAGCATCCTACACTAGCATGAACTACAATTGCAGCAAGCCTAGCAATCAGATGAACAGACGTAAGATAGCAGATTTGTCCCTTCAGTTAACCTAATCTTTAATGAGTAAAAATGTGTTTGACAACGTTAGAGGATAAGATAAACTCCCACAAGGGACATGAATTTCACGTACCGCTGATGCGTCTCAAGCGATCGTGTGCCATTGTGAATCAGCTTGCACAACTGGAGCCACTGAAAAAATGAAAGGTCTGGATTTAGTAAGCGAATGAGCTTCCTCTTAATGGGCCAAAAGGACAGCCAAATATTAACCAGGAAACAGTTTTGAAAGTGTAAAAAAATCGTATTTTCTAGGGTGTTACATATCACAGTTCGATGGATCTTGTAAGGGTGCTTCGCGGTTGTAGAATCCTCGGAAACGGTGTGCGTACCAGAGGTGTTAGCGTGAATCGTCCTTGACATAGAAATGATTGCCAACACGTTCCCAGTGGTGGATGTGCTGAATTGTATGCTTTTTAAGTATACATAAATACGGATCGTTCCGGATATGTGGGATGCGTTCCCAACACGATGAACGAGATCTGTACGGAGAAGTGGTACAATCATTTCGTAGGCTCGGCTACATCATAAGACCTGCTGTGTCAAACAGAAAAATCAATTTGCTCAGCGATTCGAAAGGATTCGCGAGCTGTCGCAGTTGTTTCACCCCGATCAAGGCGGTGTTGATTTGTTCAGATACTCGATCAAGGTGTAGATCAACCAATGAAGGTTGACGGCGAAAACTGTGGCTGCTGATAGATTTAAGTGTCAGAAATCATGCAACCAAAACTCCGGAAGTTAAAATAGTGGACAGCGGACAATTAACGTATGCTAACTAAGTGTTGGATGGATTCTGTCAAAACGACTGTCCCCTCATTACTAAAATAAGATTTCACGGTCGAAGGAATGTTGGGTCACCGTACGTGCCCCTCATGCGAAAAAATGCCACCAGTAAGCCACGAAATACTGTAAAGCGATAGAAATATGCACTAGCAGTTGACTATCGTTTAAGTGTCATACGGCAGTTGAATTGGGAGCAAGCAATAACTAATTTTAAAGAAGCAATGCACTCATTTAGGGCTTGTGATCAAGATGCCATCGAGGACCAATGAGCGGATGTGCACCACCCACCTTCGTGAAGGCGTGTTTAGTCTTTTGAACGGTCACTTGGTCATCGCTAAGTTCGTTCACCGACTCCGCCATCGCCAGGTATAGAAGACGAGCCCGAAACTCGGTCACCGGACTATTCAATATAGCTGTCTGAAAGGCAGATGGAATGACCACGAGGATGATAGGAGCGGATGGTACACTGGCAGCCAAATGGAAGGAAATGTGTGAAAATCCTAGCATGCAAAGTAGATAAAGAAATGAGACACAGTTATGATAGTTTACCGAGAGTGAAACAGCCAACACATTGATCAGGAATCTGATCTCAAAACCATGATTATGACACACGATGCGTCGAAAGCGAAAGGTTGGAATTGGCCTTTGAGTATAGTCGAAGTTAAAATTGCTTGCTTAATGAGACAAGTAAGATGCGCGGCGATCGTGTGTATATACCTTAAAATCCCTACAATGCATAAATGATTGGAATTGTCACGCCTAACGAAGAAACAAGCTGAACTCCTGGAGAAAGTTGAGATTTCTGGCTACAGCTGTAGGAAAAGTGGAGGGTTGTGCAGCCAAAGGGGCCTAGAATAAACAAAAGTGCGCAAGGTATCGAAATTCCCATCGGTTGCTTAAATTGAAAGGTGCACAGCCCAGCCCTATTATAGTTCATTTATACTGATCAGCTATAATCCCAGTTACGCAGTGAAGCCGTTGAAGTTGGCATAACGCATCAACAAAGTACTAGGAGGAAAAAGAGCGGAAAAATGCAAACACACAACGTTGTCAACTTAATGAAAAAACGTAAGTGCCGCATGAAAAGACGAGAAACAGGGGCAAAGAACGAAGATGAAAGAATTTCACTAATGGAGCCCCATTTAGAAACAAAAACACAAGTCCCAGTTGCATTTCGGTCAACCCTTTTGATCATTTCATTTGGTTGGCCACTCTGCATTTCCATCTATCTAAGAGAAACAATAGTAAACAAGGGACATAATAGCAGACGGATGTACGGAGAGCACAAGCAAGCCGATGCAGGCTGCTCGAGTCCAGTGGAGAGTACGGAGTGATACGAGACAGGTTGTTACCAAGCATCAACTAAAGGAACAAGATAATGCTGACTCGGTGAACGAGCGCACCCGATTACCCGACGTCTTCAATATGCAACGGACATGCTTATAAACCATCCGGTGAAGCTGATCATACCGCAGCATTGCACACCATTTCTTTGACTGATATCCCGAAGTTCCCAAGGAAACTTAGGTTTGGAAACCACGGATGTGCAACTAACTCCATTAGTGGATCCACATGTTACTTCGAGCGGATGCTCGACTGTGTATATGTAAAGTTTAACAACGGTAGGTTGCATCTTAAAAGGGCGAAGCACAAGTCTTAGCGTGTGAAACTCTGAATCAGCTCATAGAGAAACGTTTGTAAAGGGACTGCGCCGAACAACAAGTTAACTCTATCAACCACGTATGCGGTGTAACTGCCACACGATGAGAAATAGAGACACTCTGTTTTCACCCTAACCAACCTACGGGAGTTGTCAAGCATTTGCTTTGATACCCGTTACAAATTACCGCTCTACAGCTATGTAAAGTCCCTTCACCTTGGATTCGATGTTAAAAACGACGCCACAGACTTGAAACAAGCGGTCGCTGGGCAACAGTGCGGTTCAATATGGGGTTTAGTGAAAGATGTGCTGATGTTCCATACACGGTCACCGAGCAAGGTTGCCTCCGCTCACTGAAGTGAGAATGGGCCAAGATACTGTGTGCGTAACAAAAGCAGACAGATAGAGGATTGGTGTGCTGTGAGCGCTGTTACGATACATTTGGTCAAAGATTGCTAGACAGACTTGGTCATAGTGAAGTGGTCATCCGGATGCAGCGGTGTTGATTTTACTTAAGACAGCCGTCTGCTCTCAGGCTTGTATTGGTCCAGGTCGAGATGGAATTCAAATACCACTGCTTCACACCACAGCCCTTTGTCTGGCCTGCTTATTCTGGTGTTGGTACGTGGGCTGTACATGACACACATTTGCCATTATATATATGGTTGGCGGCATCCGGTTTCGGATTTGCCTGTCACTGTGGCCAGACACAAGACGCCTGCACCTACAGAGGGACCATGGAAGGCTTGCGCTGCACCACCCACAGCTCCAACAACATACCCCATATCCAGTGTAAACCCGAAGGAATAAGACCGGAAGGTATGCGGATGGGAGCCACGTTTCATCAACGGAGCCGGCCCACACTCCTTCATAGACAAACACAACCACGCTGTATTTGGGGAATCAACCGCACACAAGGCGGTGGCTGGACCGTAGTCCGCTCCACACTGAGTGCATGGAACCACTCTTCGAGCCTAGCACGACCACAAGGACCGTGCACCCCCGTCCCCTCCAGCAACGACCAACTGTCTCCTGGAGCCAGTATGGACGAGGTAGTGGGTAATAGACAGGTAGGCACCTTGTCAACATGCACATCAAGCGCAGCCACACCTGGGATGTCAAACAACAGCCAATCATTCGAAATGCCGATATCGATTAAAGTAAACGCATATGACGACATATATACTCGCTAAATGAGCATATAGAAGAAATTGGTTATAAGTGAATCCGTGATAAGTACAAAATGTCCGAAAGTTAGTTAAAAAAATACCACACGATAAAATTACGCAAGTTTACCACAATTTGCGTGAGCGAAGTGTGCAAGTAAGGAGAAGATTATCAAGTACGCAGAACAAACCAAATAACATGTAATGAGTTTTATCCACATTAAAAAGACCTAGTTTAAGTGTAAGTTGGTTTAGCCCAACTGCGGTGAAGAAGCATCATGAATGCAACATCAGCCTCAGCAAGGGGCATATATATATATATATATATATATATATATATATATATATATATATATGTATTACTAACTCCACAATGGACATTCAGACGGGAAATGTGGCATAAAATACCAACGAGTTCAGCGGCTTCGGCAGATATCGGTGGGGGTAACATGAGAAGTGTGCTTAAGGTTGTAATGGGAACTGGGACTGAGATAGTTATGCTTGTTCAACTTCTCCAAACAAGTAGCTTAAGTCATTGTAGAGACCAAACAGAACATTGGAATGTTATTTAGAACATTTAAGTTAAAAGAAACTATACGCTGCGCTTATTCATCATTTTCTCAACCCTTATGGGAATCCTGCACAGAAAAACGCGGCAGTCTTCAATATCGATGTTCCTATTACTCTTACTGTAGTCCACTCATATTTTCCTAAAAAATCTAAGCACAGCTCTTGCTCCAGTATCATGTAACTGCCAAAACCAACATTCGATATCAATGAATATCCTTGGGTAAAGCAGCCATCACAACGTGCTATAATAAATTTATATATACTTAGTACTTGTGTTATATCCATTTTCCTATTATCTGAAATCATTTTAAGCTATCCGTATTCATATTCTCAAGGGGCATACCAATTCTATGCAACATCAAAGAACTCACTGAAACAACATTCAACATTTATGCCCCATCAAAATGGAAAATCGTTTTGCATTACTGTTGTGCAACTTTCGACAATTCATGCTCGTTGCACTAAAAAATGCTTTTATTTACCTAAACATGCCGTCACAGGTATGTCTCGCTGAAAACGAGAAGATACAACTTATTAAAGCGAAAGGAAGTGAAAGACTATTGCGATCAACGCGGTTGAGAGATCTGTGGCGTCTGAAAGAGATTACTCTAGGTCTGAAAAGCCGCGTGCTCAAGGCCACATTGGAAGCCGTCCTACGCTATGGAAGTGGGACTTGGCACGGTTAGTAGAAGGAGTTCCGCTGTCTGCGGAGCAGTGATGGTATTAGATGGCACAGCGTATGCGCGAAAGTTGGGTTCGCAGGGGAGTACAGGGGGGTGGTTATCAGGCTAATTCTTCAATGCAACATATAAATTTAAACAAACTGCTTTAGCTTCGGCACGTACCAGGCATACCCGGTCACCTTTTACTAATGAGGCAATCTTTTGTTCAAGTAATGGTGCATATTAGGGGTGGGTAGGAAATGAAATCCATGACGACCAAACTGAGTTCCGTTAGTGCGTCCCGCCTTCCAGGTTGGAATCTACGCGAGCAGCTTTGTGCTTAGATCGAGACATTACAGGAAATGACTGCAACCCACACCAATGACTTGCTGGATATCGTCTCTAAGTCGAACTGTCTATTTAAAATGTGTCTGATACTGAGTTAACTGTGAGATGAAACATATTATGACGCGGACAGTTAAAACCACAGGGAACCCATCTCACTGATACCGCAATTACTATGTAGGACAGACAGCCGCTTGTGACTGCGTGCTGTTCACAAGAAGTATGCACCATGCTTTTGAATGTTTGATAAGGGCGCCAGTGTTTTACATCAGGGTGCTCTTCTCTCCATGTTGTTATTCCTCATTACTAAGGACATGCTAGTTTTAAGGCACTAAAGTGTCAGTGTCAATCCAAATGGCTGATGTACTGCCGTTGACGATGATGAAAATGTCACGTTTCTCTTCTACCTGTTGATATTCCACATTTACCGAAGATAGCGATAGCCGGAAATGAACCCGGTAGAGGTGCAGCTTGCTCGAATTGTTCCGTGAATAGTCGCAACTGTGCAGTTCGACTGGAAAGCTTTGGCCAGCAGATGGCGACCCGAGAGAGGAAGTGTTTTTTGCTGCGGAGCTGGCCCCATACGATGGTGGCTCGGAATCATCCAGATGCAGGAAAGATGATCATTATGGTCATCCACGGTTTACACAGCCACCTAGACAGGCTCCTCATCATAGTAGCAGAAAATAACTATAGAAAGCACCGGGATTTCACATTGTGCCTGCTGATGGTGGTATTCAATTCATTTAGTTACGTGCTTACCACAGCCTTTGCATCAGTGACAGTTTGGTAACGCAGGACCAAAATCAACCTTATTGCCAACAACAACAGATGGTGCACCCTAATGCAGCGTTGTCGGTCAAACTGAACCGTGTACCTATATCCGACCTGGCCATGGTGCGCGTCCGCATTGCACTCGCCCAGGCTCTGCGATTATTAGGATGATTCAAACGTCGAAACCGTATAGTCACTAGAAAAGTATAAAAAAGCAATATATAGCCGAAATGGATCAGC